TAGACGTCAGTAACGAGAAGTCAGGTTTGGGTAAGTCTTTGACGTTTGGCGACATTGAGAACAGTGTTTGAGCACAAGTGGGCAATGAATACTCGGGCGGAGTGTACAGCGAAGATGATGTCGTCGGTGGCGGTAGTGTCGACGCGAGACTCGACGGCAACTGATCGCCGACCGTAGGCTTCTTCTGTTCAGATCTGCTTTCGATCGACTGTTGGACACAATTATTAGCGAATCGTTTGATTTGCGACAAATCATTGAAGAATATGAGCGGTATTTCATCTAAAATTGTTTTGTAAAACTCGAACAAATCGGGAAACTCTGGCAGCGATTTGGGATCAAAGACAAGATCGTCGAACTCGACGGTCACGTCTTCTTTGATGGTCTCTCGCTTAGCGGCGAACAACTTCTTCAGCTTTTCCTTCTCATCGGTCGCTTTTTTGGACGCCGTCTTCATCTGCTCCACAATTGGCGCCAATTTCTTAGCCATCGATGGGTTCTGAATGAATCGATTGCATTCGTCGCGTATATAAGAGCCGTATTTCTTCAGATTCTGTTGATATTTCTCGATGTAATCCATGGCTAACTTTCCACAATTGGCGCCAATTTCTTAGCCATCGATGGGTTCTGAATGAATCGATTGCATTCGTCGCGTATATAAGAGCCGTATTTCTTCAGATTCTGTTGATATTTCTCGATGTAATCCATGGCTAACTTCTCATTAATCTATACAATAAATCATGGCTTAAAACAATGCACACAATTATCACAACAACACTCACCTTAAGAAGCGATTCCTGGATTTCATTCAATTGAGTGGTCGTCTCTTCGATCGTACTCTTCAGACCTTTATTAATGGCTTTCGTTTGTTTGAGTTGTTTCTGGAGATCCGTCTCTTTTTTGGCCGATTTNATAAGAGCCGTATTTCTTCAGATTCTGTTGATATTTCTCGATGTAATCCATGGCTAACTTCTCATTAATCTATACAATAAATCATGGCTTAAAACAATGCACACAATTATCACAACAACACTCACCTTAAGAAGCGATTCCTGGATTTCATTCAATTGAGTGGTCGTCTCTTCGATCGTACTCTTCAGACCTTTATTAATGGCTTTCGTTTGTTTGAGTTGTTTCTGGAGATCCGTCTCTTTTTTGGCCGATTTTGTCGACTCGTTATCCGAGTCGTCGGTCTTGATCTCAGTGATCGACTCCACGATTGAGGCCGCGTTTGCGGTGCCAGAGGTCTCTCCATCCCTATGTGTCCAACAGTTAGCACCGGGAGGTCCGCCACTACTACTCGTCGGCCAATTGCTATTGCAGTTGTGATCCATTGAGTGGTGATAACTCTGACACGAACTCATGCAACAGTGCGAATGGCCGGGCGGTGGCGGCGGGGGTCCAATCGGTTGGTACGGATTAGCCATTTGGGGGCCAAAGTAGTTGGGGTAGGGCTGGCCCAGCGTTGGCCACAGGGGTTGCGGCCCGAGTGCCGCTCTGGTGGTGAGCGCCAACTGATTGAGTTGACTGATTGGCGCCATATATGAGACACTGTTTCCCTGCCATTGAGACTGCGGACCAAATGATGGCATATTTATGTTGAGTCCCGCCTTTGAGGTCATCACCGACTGTCCGTTGGACGACATATTCATATCTATAGACACCGCGAGTGGATTGCAATCAAGAGATAATGCATTAAACGTAATGAAGATATCAATCAATAAATGTGTTGTCATTGAATACAACACACAAACAGTGAATACAAAACACAGTTGTATTCACACAACTGTTGATAAGATATGTCTTTACAATACCTGTGCGTTTGGGGCTATCGATCCACACGACCTTCAGGTGTGTTCACACTATCACTTGCTTATCACCACAAGAAGATCCACACAACACAACTCACGAGTGGAAACGATAAGACAATTTCAAAATGCAATTAACAAAAGCACAGCAAAAATAGCGGACAAACAGTTTGCGTTGCGATCCGTGTTATGAATGCGAACGCAATGTATGACTGATTTTTTTGTGCTGTATTTTCAATGCAATGCAATTCAAAATCACTGTTTATTCAACGCTAGTAACGATTGCAACACTGCTTTACACACACTGTATGTCTGACACTGTATTCAATGTGTACTGTATTTTCAATGACTGCTTGCGATAGCGTCGCCATCTGTCCCAACACAGGCGCTCATATAGTGTGACATAGATTTTGACGTATATATGTATGAAATACAGTGTTGTGTTTGTAATGAGATTTTAAAGTCCACTGATTTTGGCTCAAAATTTTTAAGTGTATTTTATTTTCCACACAAAACACAACACAAATCACAATAAAAACTGGTTTTGCATTCATTTTGAAGGCAAACACAAAAATCCCGACAATTATAACGAATAGCCGACAAATTGCTCACAAAATTCACTGCATTTTGTGTTTAATAATGACATAAAGCGACCAAACAATGGGAAAACTCAATGGTTTACACGTTTCGCAACTCAAACACCTCTTTCGCCACTCGTCTTAAGACAAGTGGTTGTGTTTTTCTGGTGACACAAAAATCCCATCACTTCTCACAAATCACTACATTATCAACGCATACGTGTATCGAGTCTTGTGATCACCGATCAACTGCTCCCATCATCGGATACCACCCCTCGCGATGTCATCACTGCTGAACAGTTGGTGGTCTTTCGCGAAGAGACACCGAAACAAAGCGCTGGTCGGTGTGGGAGTCGTCGGCGCCTTCTATGCCCTCAACCGATACGTCCATTCGGTGGCCAACGAGTGGCAGAACAGCTCTTCGCGTGACTTTGTCTCCGAAGTGAAGAAGAAAGAGATTCACTTCGAGAACACGATCGACACATGCAATCAGACATCGATGTCGCTGTCGGTGAAGATTGTGGACATTCTGGACCAGTCGTTGGACGCCGAGCCCATACTGGAGGCCATCCGTGCGGACAAACTCAACGACGGCGGCCGACAGTCGATCGCGTTGTGGAACAAACTCAAAGTCCGCATATTTACCAGAGTTATCGCCGAAGTGTATTGTGTGGTACTCTTCGTCACCTATCTTCGCGTCCAACTGTCAGTATTGGCCGGTTATATATATGTCGACAACTGTGCCAACAATCCGGCGAATCTGATGTCCCAAATACAGGCCACCTCTTCGGGCGTACAAAACAAATATCTCTCACTTTTGCATAACTTCTATACGGAAGGCATTCAACAGATCATTGAACCCATTATGGAAGCGGTCGAAGACGCTCTACAAGACATCAGTCTTAAGGATAAGATTGTTTTGCAAGACTTGAAGAATATTTTTGATAAAGTAATCAATTTTTACATTT